TATAATGGCAACATATATCATGTTGCCATTCAGAACACTGAGTTTTAATAGCATATATTGATTTAACATAAATACCTTGTGCATGTGTATATTTATTGCACCTGTATTTGCTACTCAATGTTCTTTTCATATGAAATTCCATGGTTATAATTATTAATAAGTGTGCAGTATCATAACTACATGTCTGACTTTTGTTTAACAAACCAAACAGTTTGAGAATCGTTAGACATTTGAGGAAGTTATGGTTATTTAAGTGCATGCGCCTTTAAAACACAATGTTACGAATGAGCGAGCTGCCTGTGGCAAGATGGCCGCCACGTGCGGACGTCGACCCCCATTGGCCAGCAGCGCGGATGAGACATCTAGCCTTTATTATGGATATCTATGCCCTTAACAGCGTTATCCTTATGGCATCCAAGATTCCCACGGTACCTGAACTCACCTCTCTGAACTTCCCTCCTCCCTTCCAGTACCAGTATCAAGGAACCTGTTAAACCTTTGCCTTGCTCTCTGAGTGGTTCTCTGCATTTTGGGTCAGATCCTTAAATAAATCATGACAGACACACGTTGGCATACGGCCAGTACATATGCTAGCGTATACCATACTGTAGGTGGGCTGTAAGTTACAAGTAAGTTATATGATCGTTGACATACGTTAAGTGAGTAACTTTTGCTTAATTTATGCGTAACTTATCAAGAACTTATCTAACGCATTTCAACATATTTCAACATATTTGAGGTGTTCCAGACGACCGCTGAACATGTTTCTGACTTACAGCTACTGTTTAATGTTGTATTGGCAGCGTTTTGGTATAAAATGGGGTACACAGGAGGAAACCGTTAGTTCCTCCTCATCATAGGGTGAGAGAGAAGGTGAGTGTGATGGATCCTCCCTGAGTTCAAGCCCACGACCAACAAACTTCCAAGCAGACATGATGCTGAATCTGCTGTGACTGCAAACTTTTTTTCTTTCTTTTATTTTTTTTGGCGGCCGGTAAACAGCAGCTGGGTTAATACCGCGATCAAAGCAACCTTTTTATTTCATAGTTTTGTATCTGTAAGGTACTCTGAGATTGACACAGTTCGTAGACCTATATTTAATAAAACTCTTTTTGAACAAACTCTTTGTCCTCCATGTAAATTAAAACTGTGTCCTTATAAAAACAAACAAATCATCAGTAATTGAAAATTGTCAATTAAATGTGGAATAAACCTGCAGAGGAAGCTGGAAGAGGAAAAACTAGTTTCCTTGACAACAGCAGTGCATTTGCTTCTATTACTACCATGATATTAGAAGCATATTGAACTGCATCAAGTCAACTATGTATTGTAGCAGTGCTATGGGGCGGGGGTGGAAATGGAGACTGGGAACAAGTTTTATTTGTATTTTAAGAAAGCTTTTTTCTTAAATTAGAAATTTCTTAACAAATAATTTTCATAATTTGTCATTTTTAAATGTGGCTGAAAAATCAGTTAAGAAGAAGCTGCATAAAATGTAAAATTCAGAAATTTAATTTACATCTTCCAATATTTTACCTCTGATTAGTGGAATTTCTGTTGGCATGGTAACACACGTGGGGAAAAACCAAAACCTTACAGAAAAAAAACCCAAAATAATATGGCATGTCTTTCCAATAAGTCCCATTTCCCATTGAAACACAGAGGTGGCAGCATCATGCTGTGACAGGGAAGCAGGTCAGAGATGATTTCTAAATTAGAAAGCAAAGAAGAAAAGTTTGGAGCCCTGTGTCCTGAAAAGCATGTGCTTATTTCTGGAAAACTTTGTCAAATCAAGTGTTTATAAGATGTTGCGTTCCCATTTTGTCTAAAAATGCACTGCAAAATGATCTAGAAATAAGTAAAATATTCTAAAATTAAGTGTATTTATCCTTATGTTAAGTAGGTAAATGAGATAGTTTGCCAATGGAATGAGTATTAGAGAATATGCACTTGAAATAAGACAATGCAATTTTGCTTTTCTTATTTTAAATGTAAATTGTCTTGTTCCATTGGCAAAATGTCTATTTTACCTCCTCAATTCAAGAACAAATGCACTTATTTTAAAAATTACTTATCTAGATTTCATTTTTTCCAGTGTGGTAGGTTGTAAGCCCTACTGATCACATCTACTTATGTTTCCCAGTTTGCCCCTTAATTGTAAATGAAGCTAATTTTCCAGCTGAAGCTAGTAGCGCTCGCATCCAGATGCACATTCAGAACAAGTTACCTTGGAGGCCCGGGAACAGGTGTCCCCCTGCCACGGGCGGCTGACTTGCCCCTGACCGATGGCACCTTGGCATCCTCTGAGCCGCCGTTCAGGTATGTGAGCTCCTGCAACTGGGCCTGTCGGATCTCATCATTGTAGTCCTGCACACACAGAGAGGCGCACGTAAACACACGCACACACAATGCCCGCAACAGATACGCCTTCAATTACACTGTATCACATTATATCCTTTATCTCCAGGGCTGCAGCTCTGGGAATATCCAATTAATGTACTTTGCCGTGCTGCCGTGACTGCTGTTCCTAAAGCAGCGAAACATTCAGATCTCCTGCTGATAAAACCTTAGGACCCCTTTTAGCTTCATCTTTTCACACTGTTGTTTCCCCCCCTAAATTAGAGCACATTAATTAATATAAAACAGGTCTTTAATCACATAGTAACTGATACACTTGTCATCTTTCATCTCTTCCAGTGAGTCGGATCTTTTTGGGACGGCGAGAGGCAGCAATGGAGGATGGGAAAGTGATGAGATGTAAATCATTGCAGCTGTGAGCAGTAGAGACGTGATCCATGACAGCCAGAGGTAAACAAGTTCAACTCTGAGGTGACTCCCAAAGAGAGGTGGTTCCTTCATTCTTTATGTTCCTGCTGAACTTTCTATGCCCTCATGGGGAATCTAAAGTGGAAGAACGTCATCCCTCACCCACTATGCTAACTTTATCTTTGTATTGGAATGCCAACAGATCATTAAGCAATCAGCAAACATTAAAAAGATGGGATTTAAGCTCTTTTTGCGGAAGTTTTTTAACTTTCTTTAACAGAATTTGCGCCCCCCACATACATGCATCTGCAAATGTCCCCAGATATGCAGTGAATTTAGACTTAGAAAGATTTTATTTTGTCATTTTGTACACAAAAATAAATTAAGTTAAGAACAGCTCTCTAGACAATTTCATTTTTTTAAATTGCAGCCTTGAAAACAGTAAAAAAAAGTACATAAAAACAGTAATATAAACATATGACTTTATATCTACAGTGCTAACATTTCAGGG